GCCTGGAACTCACTATACAGACCAGGCTGGCCTGGAACTCACTATACAGACCAGGCTGGCCTGGAACTCACGGACATCCATGTGCCTCTGATTCCAGACTGCTGGAAATAAGGGTATGCACCACCGTGCCTGGCTCCTTTATGGGGTTTTTCAGTCTCTCACACCAAGTCCCAAACCCTGCTGTCCAGTTTAAGGATGAGAATTTGGCCGATCAGCTGCTGTTCGTCGGGATGGGAAGAGGAAAAGGGAAGGAACACGTGTTGATGTTGACTGAACAGACATGGGCTTTCTGCAGGGGGTACGAGAACTTTACAGACGGGAGAGCCCGTCATGCATTGCATGTCATCCTGGCACTGGGGAGCTAGAGGCAGGAGGAGGATTCGGAGTTCAAGGTTACTTTCAGCCACATAGTAAATTTAAGACCAGTCTGTGCTAGAGACCTTGTCTTAAAAAAAAAAAAAAAAAAAAAAAAAAAATTCCCAGGTGGAGCCAGGTTTGATGATGTTGGCCTATAGTTCCAGTACTTAGGAGGCTCTGACACGAGGACCGCCTTGGATTTCCAAGGCATGCCTGGGCTATATACAGTGACACTCTATCTCAAAAAACAAAACAGCGTAACATTAAAAACAAACTTTCCAGATGGAGAAGCCATGCCTCAGAAAGCTTGGCGGTTCCCTTGAGTTCACACAGGCGCAAGGCTTGGTGCTAGAGCTGGGGCCAGCCATACTAGGGTAGCGCTAGAGAGCCCCTCTTCCAGTTCCCTCTGAGGGACCCTCGGTGACCCTGGCTGCAGCCTGTGGTGTCCTGTGTGTAGGGAGGCAGGTGCAGGCATATGGGAGGGGGGGGCAACAAAGGGTACAGCTCCCCACATACAGCTAACTCCATCACATGGCTGCCATACCAGAGTCCTTGCCTTGGGCCCCCTGCCCCCCCCCCCATGAGCTGATAAGAAGTCAGGGCAAGAGGAGGGGGCAGAGATAAAGCAGGCCATTGGGCAGGGGCAGGGTGACAGGACAGGGCCTCTGCCACTCAGGCAAGCCCCTGCCTGGGTGGGGAGAATTGGAGGAGCACAGAAAAGGAGCCTATTTTGTCTCTGACACCCCCCAGGCTAGGACTGGGCACTGGGGGGCTGGACAGGGCTCTGGTGGGGGGGGAGAAGGAATGGGGAGACTTAGCCCAGGGAGCCGTCAAGAAAGTAGGTCAAGTTTTTCTTGGCTTGTGGAGAAATTCCTGTTATAAATTTATAATGGCATAGCCAGCCCTAAGGGGTGGAGGTGGGGGAGGAGAAGAAGTGGGTGGGGATGCCCAGGGCTGGGCACTGGGACCTACTACTCCTAGCTGGAAGAGAGGGGCAACAGCAAGGAACACTATGGGGGGTGGACAATAAAGGCTGTTCTGTTTCCCATTGCTCTCTCTGCCCAGCAAGGCTTCATTTAGTCTGTCTGTCTATATCTCTCTCTCTCTCCCTCTGGGTCTGGGTGTCTCCCTCCCCCCCCCCACCCCGACTGTGCCTCAGTGCTTGGCACACCCTGGCTGCGGTGCTGCCCCCGCCTGTCTCCTGCCCGCCTGGCACACTGCCATCACTTGTTTACAGAAGCTGGAAAAATCCACTCGCCAGCCGGAGGCCCAAGCGCCCCCAGGGAAGGGAGGAGGCAGACCCAGGAGTGGGCAAGCAGAGAGAGGGGCAGCCCTGGGGAACAGGCCTTGGGGGCAGGCAAAGCAGGCCAGGGTGTGTAGGAATGGGTATTAGCAGCTGTGGGCAGGGCCTGGCAGGGAACCCCAGCAGGAGCCAGTGGCATGAGAAGCTCCTGCCTCAGGCCATAGCTATGGAGGTGCCTTTCCCCCAACCCCCGACATCCCACCACTACCAGTTGCTACAAGGCAGACCTGGGACAGTGCCAATCTAAGCCACCCTGTTGATTTCCCCCTCTCTCCTCCCTGGCCTAGCCTTAACTCCAAATGTGTCTGGGTACTGCCAAGGGCTTGCACGTGCCCACAGCGGGAGGGACAGGGTCCTTGTCTGTCCTACCTCTATGCTGAGCTGAATTTGCCTTGGTGCCAAGTGGTGGAAGCCCAGGTTATGGTTACTTCCTGGTAGTGGAAGAGGGTCAAAGTGCTATCCTCACTTCTCAGGGCATTTCTGCCTGGCACCTAGCAAGAGTCTAGAACCCCTGGGGATGCCTGAAAACCTCTCCAAGGATGTATATTGGCCTCTGAGACTACACAGAGCCCAGGCAGAGGCCCAGCACGCAGGAAGGCATGAAGCATGTGAGTCTATGTTAGCTACAGGCAGGAAAAGGTTAGTAGGGAAGGGTGTTATGTCAAGGATAACTACCCTGAAGGGCAGCCCCACTCCCTCTTCCTGGAGTCCAGTTTAATATTCCCCAGCTCCTTTTTAAGCATGTCCTTTGCAAGGGGAGGAGGGGGGCTCAGGCCCAAAGAGGCAGTCGGGGGTGGAGTTCTGGAGTTCAGGCACTCAGATGGACGGCAGGACAGCAAGACCCACCTGTCTGTTAGCCTGGCCACCCACTCCTTCTTTGTCAGATAAGAGCTGTTGGGTGGCAGCGTGGGCAAGTTGCCCATAGAGGGGGAAGCATTTCATTAAGCTTAAGTGATTCTGCAACGGGGGGACAGGACAAGGAGCCAGCGCAGCATCTGTGGGCGTCGTGCCAGGTTCCCACTGCCGCCTGTCCTGTTCCATGGTTCTCTAGATCCCTGGGATACCCCCAAAGGACCCCTGAGCCATCCAGCAGGGCCTTTGCCCCCAGCCATCTACTAGCAAGTAAAGTGCACACTTTGGAGTATCTGTAATAAGCTTTGCCTCTGTGTTTCTGGGGCCCCTGAACTTTGTCCTGAATGCTTTGAAGAAAGCACAGCCCTTCTCGTCACACACACACACACACACACACACACACACACACACACACACACACAACAGAGTTGTAAAAAGGGGAGAAAAAGGAGGAGGATGGAAATGATGGAACGAAAAATATGGAAAGAAGAACAAAGAGATGGGGCAGGGATGTGGACACAGCTAGGGGTCTCAAGGAAATAAGGGGAAAAGGAAGAAGGGAGAAATGAGAAGGAGGGTGGGACAGGAAGGGCTGAGATGGGGAGGACAGATAAAGGGAGGAGAGGCAGATGAAAGAGAGACAAAGGGAGAAAGGAAAATAACAAAGAAAGATGGGTGGGGGGGGTGCTTCTGCCTTGCCTAAGCCCCACCCCATGGGGGAGGGGGGAGTAGAAATGGTTTCCACGGTGACAGCTGGTTCTTGGTGGCCTGGCATGTGGGCTATTAATAGTGCTGTGGGTAGGTTCACACCTCCCTCTCCCCTTCCCCTCTTCTTGCTATTAGGATGGGGGGGGAAGAAGCCCCCCCCCATCATCCTGCATAGATGTCCTGATTCTATACTATGGAATCATCAAGGGTAATGTGGAGAGGCCAGGGCAGCCACCGGAGCCCAAACACACACGAGCATGCACAGGCAAACAGGCATCTGTGTGCAGGCGTGCCCAGTGCCAACGTGGGTTCCCACAAGCAGCCACCAACCTAATAGTGGTTAGGGGGCATCTATGGGCCGCTGAGGACCTATGGTAGCAACATATGCTCTGTGTTTCAGGACAGATGCCTCCCCAGGGCTGGGGCCTCTCCCTCCTTCACAGACCCCCACCCCCAACTCTGTTCCCAGGTATGGATTTCGAAGGACTGCCCCACCCAATTCTCTGCTATCCCAGTGCCAGGAAGGAGTGAAGGTGGGAAGGCAGGGACTACTTGGCAGGTGTGATGTGGCAGTGAAATACACACAGACTTAGGCAAGGCTTGATAGATGTGGGGGCGGAGACCCGGGGAGGCGGCACCTCTGAGTGGGATTTTGCTTGGAATTCTGGAACTTAAAGAGCAATGACCCAGAAGCCAGATTTCCCAGCTACTGTAGGCCTTAGAACTTGGGAATGGGGGGTTAGGTGGGGTATGTGCATTAAGGGGGAGGCTACTTGCTTAAACAAAGGATCCTCCCTGTTGTCCCCACCACCACCACCACCACAAAGAATATAACAGGAAATTCCCCCCTGCAGGTCACAGACAGAAAGACATAAACAGTAGCCCTGTCTTGGGCCAGATGCCCAGGATTAACATCAAAGGCTCCCAACCCACTCCCCCCCATAGCCTTACCCACCTGCTTCTTCTCTCTCCTTCTGCAACACCCTTCCCCTCCGTTCCAGGCTAATTCCATAAAGTATCAAGGG